TTTTTTCCTGATCTGTTCTGTTTTCCGTCCCCTGCATCTATCCTTCCACTTCCGTTCCATGCTGCATGCTATTTGCAGCATTTTGGAGCTGGAACCCTTGCTTGCTTGCTTGCTGGCTTGCTGGCTTGCTGGCTTGCACACCAGTCTGCGAGAACTTGGCCGGGAAAAAAAAAACGGGGAGGGGGAAAAAAAAAAACGTAAAAATAGGGTACCTGTGGTTTGTTGGGCCTTAAGTTTTGACCAATTCACATATCAAACAAACTCAACCCAAGTTCACCCACTCGATGCTGGCGAAAAACATCTGTCATTTCACGTGGATTCACTACATGATGGAATGATCATTGAAGTAAGGATGGGCAACAGTTGATTCCGGAGCGCTCGCTCTTATCTGCAGCTATACACATGTTTTCGATAGTTCTTGGTCTTAGATTGGTATGCGGCAAATTTTAAGGCTCAGGTCGGTCAAATTGTGCGTTCACCCAAAGTGAACTCTAAAATACTTGGTATCTTGGACCTTCATCCCCGTATAGTCCCATAACACCATCCGCGCTAGGCTCTGCCCTGCAACTCAGAGAACTGGAACAGGAAGTTGAACTGTTGAACACATGGAAAACAAAGGAACATCTATAGGAAACCATGGTTTTTCTATCCCCAAATATATATATATATATATAGAGGTATTGGTATCCTCATGTATCCTGTAAAATTTCCCATTGGAATTTGGATGAACGTGCTGACGTGCCATAAAAACCTCTCAAGATTGGCTATCCCCAAAGCCAATTCTTAAAAAACACATGTGAATGCTAAACTAACATTGATGTGGAAAATTAACCATTGCTGGATCATTTTCCTCGCGAAAACATAGGTTTTCCACATACAGTATGTTTACCATCTTTTAGCCATCTACATAGTGGGAACGTGTTCTTCCATGGTCCTTGCCTGCGAATTCTGACAGCGTCCACTGCAAGCGCTCCAATCCTTAGAGAAGTACCAGGTGGTTTCCTGGAGATGTGTGTTGGTTTCTAACCTCCAAGTATACCCTCTGGTAAACATACAAAAAACGATGGAAAGATCCACCATTCTATAGCTGGGTAAATCAACTATGTCTATGGCTATTTTCAAGTTCGCGAACTGTTAGTTTACCAGAGGGTACATCTACCACACAGTACACATTCATACACCACCATTAAATACCATTAATTTGGGCGGTAGTTCAGCAACGTCGCTAAGTATCCTGACCATGCAAACCCAGATCTGGCTACTGGCTGAATCCACTGTGGAGACGATTCCCCCTGGTCAAGCCGTCATTTTCCGTCACTTAGAACCCCCAGCGTCACTTAGAATCACAAACGCACTCGCGAAAAACCATGCTCAAGGTCAAGGTCAATGTGTTCTAAGCGACCTGAATTTGTGGGTTCGAAGCGACTACTCGTCCATCCCCAACCTATGAAAATCGAAGGGTACCCCTCAAAGGGAACGGATGGGGTTTTAGAAACCCGTTCAGAAGGGTTGATCGGGATTAACAACCCCATACAACCCCTCATCAATGGAATGATTTCTGTTCAGGAAATAATGATTTTGACCCCAAAAATAAAAGTGTTTCCTCGTAGATATGCCCTTAAACAAACTCAGGGACCTTAATACATGAGACCCTGAAATAGGGTTTGAATGAACATAGGGTACCCTGAAATTGATGCTTAATCATCATTATCCAATATTTGCCTTGTTTGGGAATTGCAGTATTTGTATTACCCCATATTCGGAGACACCCAATTGAATATTGTTGCTTGTATATCACATTCTATCCCAGTCTATCCCATTATATATATATATATATACACATCCTATTACCATTATACAATCATAAAGAGGTCGGTTTATCATGGTTTTCCCCATATGTGTGACCTTTTTTCTTTTTATGTCTTGTTTGGTTGTGGATCAATACCTTCTTTTTTACGGGGATGAACATCTATTTGGCTGAATTGAATCACACACTACCCTGAAAATAGTTGTTATCATACGGCCATTTGGGAATACCCTCTGGTAATTTAACATAGCTATTGAAAATACCTCATTTATAGTTGATTTACCTATTCAAAATGGTGATTTTCTATAGCTATGTTAGTTTACCAGAGGATAGTTCCCCGAATCCCAACCATCATTCCAACGACGTCGCAGTGAAGTCATCAAAAATGAATAAAAATGATACTTTTCCTCGTAGTAGGAGAAGATACGATGGCCCAATGCTTGAGGCCATGCCCGCTCGTCAACCGCCCATCACCATAATCTATCCAGATTCATCAATTCATAAACATATCGTAAATATCATAAATATCATTAAATATCCATATATATATATATCCATATATTCATTCATCATTTATCCATGATTTATCATCAATCCATCAATAACAGGGACAAATGGTTCCTGCAAGCCCTGTGAAATAAGTCGACATGGGATGCCGCAGTTTCGCGGTGAACTCTGTGTCACTGGTGAAATGCTGCATGATGGACAGATGGCGTGACCGGGGACCGGTGACTCCAAACACGAACCGGACCGTTGTGTGACTCAACCTGAAGGTTCGTAGTTCAACTGCTGACGTACTTGGGTGCCAATCATCTGAATTCGAGCTGGAAAACATACGGCCAGATCTAACTTGGATTTGCTGAAGACAGCCCCCAAGAAAAACAACACACATTCCCCAAAAGAAAAAACAAGTCGATTTCACATTGAAATATATATTTAAAAGTCATCTTCAGCAAATCCAAGATGTTCGCTGAACCAAACACTGATGCGTAATCTGATACTTCAAAAGATCTGCTTTTTTAAACAGAGCTGATGCTTAATCATCATACTTCCCTACAGAAAAAAAGGGAGATATAACTCCTACAATTAAGGTTATACATCATTACAATCCCATAAAAATAACTCTTAGTTGGGCCATGACTGTACATTCTGGTAAATTAACAGTTTGATACCCTATGGTAAATTAACATAGACCCCATGATTAGTGGTGATTAATGGTGATTTAATGGAGATTTAGGTGATATACAGTATACATCATTTATTTCAGCCCATCAAGTCAAAATACCAGTTATAAGTATATAAGTCACCCCATTTTCACATGTTTTGATTGGAAGCCCATCTTGATGTCGACCCAAGATTCGCTCCAGTCAGACATCTGGCAGCCACAGGCCTGGCGTCTGAAAATGGGGTAAGCTGGTTCTGAACATGGTTATAATCCACTAATAGTGGGTTAATAATAGTACTATAGCGAATTAACTATTAATAACCATTAGTTACTGAATTATACTGGGTTGAACCATGGTTAATAGTGAATTAATTTGAAATTAGGGTTTATAACATGGTTAATAACTGTTAGTTAATAATATGAAGCAATGGTTAATAACCGTTCCGTTAAGTTAATAACCATGGTTATAACCACTAATTAATTATAGTGGGTTAATAGTGAGTGAATTACCCTCTGGTTATTTAACATAGCTACTGTATATATAGCTTCGGAAAATTGCCCATTTACAGATGATTTTCCCAGCTATAAACCCCCATTTATAATGGATTTTCCATAGCTATGTTAAATAACCAGATGGCAATATGAATTTAGGGTTTATAACTTCGTCAAGTAGGCTTTTTATGGTGATTCTAAGTCTACAGTCATGGCCCGAAATACAAGTTATTTAAAAAAAAAGTCAGTGAAGCCGCATAACATGTCGGGAAAGATAACCCCCACAGAAAAAAAACAACAAAAAACAGTGATCCCCACCAACTGACATTCTATCTCACGTATATTCTGACATTCTATCTGGCATTCTATCTGGCACATGTTCTGCCAATCTATCTGGCATTCTTTCTGGCATTCAGTTTGGCATCTATTCTGGAATGTGTCCGGGTCCAGGCGTGCTCCACTGCATCCTGCGCGCAAGCGATACGTGCGAAAAAACGCACGGGTCCATTGGTGCCCACAGTCACGAAGAGCTGGTGCCCAGGAGTAGAGGAGGATAAGGAAGAAGAAGGAAGGAAGGAGTTGCACCTGTGTTAATTTCTAGAGACCCTCACCTTTCAGGTGGGGAAGTAACTGGTTCCAGGACTTTAACTGTATTCATAGTGGGTTGTAAGGGGAATAGTTAAGGTCCTACTTCGTTGGTTTGTAAAACCATCTAAGTATAGATGTATCTACTAGTTCAACCACCTTAACAAGTAGGGGGCACCACCTTGTATTAAGAGTGCATTTTTCTACGGGGAATAACTAAGATCGAGATTGTCAAGTTATATGGTTTTAACGGGCTATCAGGATAACATAAACCGAGTTCTAGGGGGAATAAGCCAACTTAGCCCATTTACAACCAGGGTTGCAGGGCTGTACCTATTCATGGATTTATTGGTTGAAGTATGTTAAAGTCATCTCACTCTAAATGGGGATTGACCGTGGCACACTTGCGCGTGTCTGCACATGGGATACGGACCCCTTCAATATGGTCGTGTTTTAATGTACTGAAAATGGAACATAATTATTATATAACGGGTGGTCTATCCCATTTTCATAGAAAAAAACAAGACTGGTGAATTTTGTTGGTGAAATGATTGGGATACACAACACCAGCGTTAATCATACCATCTTGTCTTGTAAACACAAGTGTTGCAAATAAATGTGGAAAAGCCAATCTCAAACCTCATCACCTCATCTTTCAAGGGTTATACCTCCCGCATCATCAGGCACTAACCAGGCACTAACCGAGTTCCTGTTGCCACGGTGTGCTGCCCTGGCTGCTGCTTGGGCAAAGTGAAATGCAATCCTGGCAGCGATGTAGAACTTCATCCGATTGATCTTGTGTTTGAAGATACGCCAGAAGTTCACTGAAGGTGATGCAAGCCAGTAATTGCTTCGTCCAGAAGCTGGCGCAAATAATCGAAGCTGGGATGGTCCAGGGCTGTCAAAGCACGAAGTGGGCCATGGTGGTCAATTGTAGTAATGGTTTGAATTGATCCATCACCATTCTCACCTTCGATGGTTGCCAAGGCAGTGGCAAACGATTTCCAAAAGAATTTAATACTGGACAAATAGATGCAGTCACCACAAGTAGTCAGGATTGCATAGAAGAGATCGGACAATGCTTCGATCTGGGAGAAGCGGTCCAAATCGATGCGGCCAGTGTCATCCGTAAGGTAACGGATGATGATCAAAGTAAATTCAACGATCTGAGAAAACATGGAATCGGGGAAATGCATATTCAAAGCAATGAAATAAGGAACGATAAAATGGAGGCAGCGGGAATGTACACTGGAGCCAAGTGCTCAAAAGAAACGTTGGTCATTGTCCCAAATGGACTGACATGGCGCAAAATTTCGTCCAAAGACGGCCATGTAAAGATGTTGACCAATTGTCAACAATGTTGCCAATGCAACGAAATGACACTATCATATATATGTAATATATGATATGGAAACGAGAGACAGGTCCCAAGTGGACGCACAGAAACGGAGAGAGACAAAGGGAGGGAGTGGCGTCAGACAAGGGGGGGACAAAACGTTTGGCCAAATGCCAACGAGATCACTTGAGGGGAAACTGCACACGTTCAAAGTATTAAGCAGTAACCACCAACAAGGACCACAAAGCCACAACACAAATTGAATATTTCAAAGAAGGATCTCTCCAAAACAAACAGAAGTCTCTCAAAAAAAACAGATCGTCAAACAGACCTCTCACACTCATCCAGATGATTCACTTCTGTTTTTTTTACACGAGGTCAAAACAAACCAAACTTCAAAAGGGGGGTCCGGGTTTCTCCTTTTTTGTTTTTTTGGTTGAGGTGGCACATGCCACACCTGCGAGTTGATAAGGTAACAAGGCTGAAGCCTAGTGAAACTTGTTGAGTTTTCTCTTGGCGTAGCCATGATAGACGCTGACTTTTATTTTTTTTGTATGCAATGTAACAAATAAAACACGCCACATGCATGTAGATATATTTTATATATAATATCATGTATGTGGTTATACATATACACATATACAGAGCATAAAATGTATAATCCATGTATATATATATATATATATATCAATAAAACTCATTATACATATATATAATGTATGATACATGTGTATATAGAAATCAAGGTAATGCATATATGATACATGTGTATGTATATAATTGTATCTATATACATATATATATATCAATATAATTATATGTCTACATAAATGTAAACTAATTTATAAATGTATACCAAGGATACACAAACATAAATACCAATATGTACGTGTATATATATATATACATATTTATATCAATACATATATATATATATATGTCACTATATTTTAATACCAATTTATATATGTAACCATGTATATATATACCAATACATGTATATATATATATATACATTCATCATTGCGCTCGTGATACCCTGATCTTCTGTGCGTTTGCAAACTTCCATCTGTTCCGCCTCCATGTTGCAAAGCTCCTCTTGACTGCCACTGGAACATCCTACCTGCGCTGGTCACGGTTCAGGATGATGATGATGATGATGATGATGATGATGATGTGGAGGTACAATCAGTGGCCCATTTGGGGGGTTCTTAAGTCATGGGGGATCCACAAGTCACCATGGGTTGCAAGTCTAATGACTTGGATGATTTGGGGGTACCTGCAGTACCCCCATTTTAGGAAACCTCCGTTAAGGTACCTAAAATGGAGGTAATAACTGTAATTACCAGATGTTTAGCTTTGTTTGGCCATATTTGTTGGGGATGTTGCCTTATAGGCCTAAAACACAGACCTTTATTAGTACACTCAATATCCGAGAATATCGGAATACGTGCGAGAACCAACGGGGTCAAAGCAATGACAATCAGTGCGTAACTGACAATGTATGCAGCTACATACAACTCGTACAAAATGAGTGTTGTGATGTGTTGTGTAGATCAGCCACATGCTAGGGAAATCCCAGAACTGTTGGCCCACCAATCTGAGAGTGTTTGCGCAATACGGACATCGGCGTCTACGCGCTCACTCCCAGTTTCCTGGGGTCGACCGCTACGTCCGGTCGCCTTCCAAAACCGGCGTGTAAACCAAGCCACGTGCCAGATCTGCCCGTTTTTTGCCGTGGATTTTCCTGACTCCAATTCGTGCAAAGTTCCTGCTGAGCTTGGGCCGCATCAGGGCGAGAATTGTGCCAGCTATGTGATCTATGTGATAGTGTGCCTGCGCCGCGACGCGAACACCCCTCAAGTCAAGGAATGCTGAAAAGAAGGTGGCAGCCAACGGATTGTGAAAAAGCTGGCACTTGACTACCAATCATCTTGCCAAATGTTGCATTTTGTGTCGGGGTCCAAAAATCATGGTACATTGCAATTTGGAGAACTAATAAAGTATACAAGGTGGTGCCCCCCAGTTTTAAGTTAACGTTTATAATCCCATTAACTAGTTCGATATATCTACCATAAGTCCTAGTGAAATTAGAGTTATGTGGCCCCCAACTGAACGCTATGGAACGTGGGCACTATATTGTAAGAATAAACAACACTTCACGCCTCCATGAACTACGCGAGTTTGTCTGAAAATAGACCTGAAATCCACTCGGTTATGGCCATTTATTAGTTATAACTGGCAGGTTATAAATGGGATTATACATTCTATAAATGGGGTTTTCTAAGTACTTATAACTGGTATTTCGGGCCTTAACTGCTGGTCATTCATAAATTTCCCAATTCTCGAAGTGTTTCACTCATTTTCAGCAGATGAAACTGTTCTCATATGGAATCGCCAAGGGATGCGAAAGCTACCAGGGAAAATGATGATTTCTCTGGGATATGTTGGGGGAATACCAAGGGAAAAAGCTAACCGGGTGTGTCTTAAGGTGTTTTAAAAAAGTGTCTTAACATGGAAGATACCCGAAGAAATTCTGTTTTAGTGGTGATGAAGCACTGGATTAGTGTAGGATTTACCCTCTGGTAAACTAACATAGCTATAGAAAATCACCATGTTATATGGGTAAATCAACTATAAATGGCAATTTTCAATAGCTATGTTAAATTACCTTTTTGGACCCTGAAATGCTACAAGAGCGGCGCCCTGATGACATGCTAGGCATTTCATGATTATCCTACAATGTGGGGCCCCCAAACGTGATGTGAACGTTGGTTTATAAACCCAATTAACTAGTTCGTTATAAGTATCATAAACCATAGTTACTGAAGTTCTGTTCACCAACTTAGCTATCTTGGGGTCCACACATTTTTCTTTAGAAAACTTGAGATTTCCTTTTGGGCATGATGGATTCCCAAACAGACATGTTGATTTGACAACGGCTCCAGTCTCTGCACCCTTGACATGGCTTCGAAAAATTTTGAGCTGCCAGGAGGAAGATTCTACAGTTATGGCCATTTATTAGTTATAACTGGTTATAAATGGGATTATACATTCTATAAATGGGGTTTTCTAAGTACTTATAACTGGTATTTCGGGCCTTAACTGTATTCATTGCCAAATCACTTTCTTCCCTGTTTATGACAGTCATTTTACAGAGACGAAATTGGCTAAAACAGATCCGACAAGTGCATAATCACATAATTAAGAGTTAGATCCAAAATGAAATCAGAGCTGAAATCATGAAAAGAACCATGGTTGAAGAACCATGCACACCAAATCCGACCAGAAAGAAAACCAAACTAAAACCAATAAACTCGTCGTTGGTTAAATAAAAATATATAAATTCATATATTGGTTAACCAATATTAAGGAATCCCATTAAAAAAAAAAAACAGGAACTTCAACCAGTGATCATCCGCCAGCAACTCCCTAAAGAGGGGCCTTGCTACTTCGCGTGCGGAGGCCGCTACAGGTCTTGCTGCAACTTGACCATTCCTTGGTTTTCGGAAAAGAATTGGAAATTTTGGTGGTTTAAAGTTGGAAAGTTGGGATGGTAAGTGAAAATAATAGGAGATTGTTGTACTTCATCATGAAAACTGATAGAATACTAGGGATGGAATGGTTTTTCCCTCGCTGCGATGGCGCGGAAAAAAAATGACGGTGAATCTAAGGTAACTGCGCCCAAAAGCGCCAAACCTTTCAGCTTGGCGAGGGCGAATTCTATGGTCGATTCAGGGGATATAACTTTAGTATTCATGGGGGTTCTCAGCCAACAAACACAACTTGGGGCCTCTCCTTGTATTTTTGTATTTGCTATAGTACCATTAGTACCACCCAAAATGATAGAACAGAAGCTATCCGTGGTTTCAGGATTGGATTGTTCTATCTCTTGTGGCTTTGCTAGACATGAAATTCATTTATTTCAAGGCCATGAAACAAATAGAAAGGTAACATGCCATCCACAGGATCCCAAAAAAATCCGGCATCTCTTGCTATGACGACCATCCCGTTGGGTCGACTAGATCTAATACATCCTCCGTACCCCTGAGAAGAGCCTATAGGCTGGTCATTTTCCATCACCCCCCTGCAATTGAACTATCAATGGCCCGTTCAGGTACCTAAAATGGAGGTAGTTTACCAAGGCCATATGTTGGGATGATATTCCTCTAGGCCCAAAAAAATCGACCTTTTTTTTGGTACAAGGTTGTGCCCCCCTAGTTATAAATTGGTTTATAAACCCCATTTACTATAGATATATCCCCTATAAACCATAGTTATTGGACTTATGTTCACCAACTTAGCTAACGAACTGGGGCACCACCCTGTAGATACCTCCAATAGCATCGGTACCTGAAATGGACATTGATATCAGAAGTAGCCCAAACTGAGCTATCAAGGTGTCTTTTCACACCCGTATATGACTTTTGGCTGCAAAACACGAAACAAAAAAACTATCTTGGAGAACATGCTATGCCTTCCAGTGTCATCAAACAAAATGGTGATGTAACTAACAAAAATGGTGGTGAATGGAGATATGGAGATATAAAATATGGGATATAATTTGATGCACCGTCCTGTGTCATCAATCGTAGCAAGCAATGAAAACTCCCCGCACTGGAGATTTATTGGGAAAATCATTGAGGAAATGGCCAGCACACAAGCCGTGGATGATTTCCAGAGGGTAGATCTGGAAACGAAATATTGTTTCCCAAATGAGAATGGAAGGATGTTTTCCCAAAGATTTCCCAATTTGAGGATGATTTCCCCACTAACCATCTATGGTGAATTTTGGTGAATTTTGGTGAGGTCTCGCAGGGTCATTTACCCAGAATAGGTCCAAGTTTCCAAATGCTTGTTGATCCCCATCATCATGATACAGTTAAGGCCCTTTACCAGTTATAAGTACTTAGAAAACCCCATTTATAGAACGTATAATCCCATTTATAACCAGTTATAACTAATAAATGACCATAACTGTAGGTTTTGAACCATTCACAAAATGGGGCCCCCGTGGCCACTAAAAAAACGCGACAAGTTGGGCCACATAACTCCAATTTCACTCTGGGTTATGGCACAATGTGGTGCCCCCAAGATAGCTAAGTTGGTTTATAACTCTAATAACTAGGACTTATGGTAGATATATCTATAGTTAATGGGATTATAAACGTTAACTTAAAACTGGGGGGCACCACCTTGTACCTATAACATCCTATAACTACAGTTACTGGGACTTATAAATCAACTTAAAGCTGGGGGGGGCCCAATTTGCACAATCCTTTTGGTCGCATTTCCTCTTAAACCTTCCGGGTCAGGACTGGGGGTAATTTGACCGCCATGGTCAAGTCCAAAGCTAGGACTGAGTCTTTTGTTTCTATTCATTTCAGGTATTACCCACAGATACACAGATATTCCCTAACATAGGTCCAGAAACAACCAATCAGCAACCTAGTCTCTGTCCAGCAATTTTCGCTGTCGCTTTCCTCCGCTTCCTCGCACTTCTTGCCACAAGCCTCCGCCTGGTGCAATGGAGGAACACGGGACCAACTGGGATATATGATATACATGCAAAACTATACAAACACTGAGACCTTAAATATACCTTCTGCTAATTTAATGATGTGGGTAAAGCAATCATAAACCACCCATGACTGGGAATGGTAAACATACCATCTATAAAAATGGTGATTTGGGGGATGGTTTATGGCATTGTTTTAGTGGGCAGCCTAGAGGGTAAATAGGCAGCACGTTTCGGCAGGCTCAGAAGTTGCCATGTGTACAATGTGGTTTTCCATCGCCCCATCCTCTCTCAAATACGTACTTTTATTCCAAAAAAAAAATGGTTTTTGGGCTGAACGGGAGTTTGAATTATTCAATTCTAAAAGTCAATATATAAATTACAGAAATTACATACATTCCCACGATTACTATTATTAGTATAAACAGTATTCTTACTATTATTACTACTACAAGTATGACTCATTACTATTATTATATACGGTAACTGCATCTATAAATAGATGATTTTTTAAATATACAAACTGGTATTCTAGAAAACCTCCACATATCTAAATTGTCGTTACCGTACCGTTGTTGTTATTGACCGAAAACACACCTACTGGCATCGAATTCTCACGACGGTCCAGGAAAGTGCACCAAGAGGGGAAGATCTGCCACAACGAGAGCAGGGTTAGTATCAATACCATGCACTTGATGGAAACAAACTAGTTGTACAGGTAGTTAAAACAAAAACAATGAAAGTCAGAATCATTACTAATCATAAAATTATATTGTATGTGTATATATATATATATACATATTACTATAATTACTATTATTGTATATATATAAATATTATCATTACTTTTATCAGCATTATTACTATCATTATATATATATATACATTAATATTATAATCATTACTATTATTTATTATTGTGTTTATTATTATTATTATTATCAGTATTATATATAATCATTAAACAGAGACACATGAAAGTCATGGTTTTGTTCCTTTTACCAACCATTGCATATTGATATATTGGGGTGGGGTTCTTAAAATGGGAAATCCCCAGTCGTCACCATGGGTTAACCTATACTTCGTCATGGCCTGATGACTTGGATGATTTAGGGTACCCACATTTTTTGTTGAACCTATCAATAGTGTCCTTTTGGTAAAGATAGAGGGGCCGGGAGCTGGTTAATACCATCTATCATCATAGAAACCTGTTGTTAAAGGGGTTTCTTCAAACCCATTTTTGTTCATCAACCAACCAATGGGAATTTGGGACATCTATGGAACCTATCATCTTGTCCTTTGAGGAAATATAGAGAGGCCGATTTGGTATATCTATTGTCATCTACCTATTGGTAGGTTACCATGTGGGAAACCCTCTCTGAACCAAGCGGTGGGAAAAGGACACCCATGGTATAGTCATAGTAACCACCAGAATTTATGGAATGAATCACCTTACAATCTAGAGTCTAGAGTTCGAAATCATGCCCTCTCTAAATGTGCATGGTGCAGCATCTCCCATCCTCAAAAGGATTTCCCTAGCACCACCCACTAGGCATGTGTGTCTGATGACCGAAAATTCTGCATCTTTGAGTCTTTTGATGCAGGAGAAACGTCAACCGCGGATCCAAAAAACGGTGCGTCTTGTCATTATGGGGTGTACCGTTGAGAAACAGCTCAATTTCTTTGGTCGACCCGTCATGTCTAAATCTTGGATATGCAAAAACAAACATGTTTTGGGGGTAGCTTACAGCAATGCCCATCCAAATTTGTAAGAGATCCAGAAAAGCATTGGAGTGCTCAACCAAAGGTTTACTCTCCAGTAAACTAACATAGCTATAGAAAATAAGAGTATTTTACAAGTAAACCATCTATGAATGGATAGCTACGTTGGTTTGCCACAGTTTTACCATGTTTTACCCATTTGTTGGGTATTACATTCGCTGCCAACTCGACCAAAAAAAAGTCTGCCTGTTGTCCGTCGGCCAAACTGCAACCGTTACCCGAACGAATCGCGCGAACTCGTTGACGACGACCACCTGGTTGTTTCAGGGGGCAGGCTGAGCAAGTTCTGGTAGGAAACTCAATCAGAACCTGGACCCTCCAAATTAAATTACCTCAAAAAAAACTCTTGAAGTACAAAGTTGTTTGGGGTAAAACATAATTTTTAGGGATACTTGGAGAAGCTAGGAATGAATTCAAATGGGAAGATCAGGAGATAGACCCCCCCAGTAAACTCAAGTGATTTTTTCCATGGTTGTTTGCCGAATTGAAATGATCTACATTCATGGTGGATTTTCCACATCTATGTTACTTCACTGGAGGGTGTATGATATATATATATATATTATCTGGGTAAATTATAATATTTCACCAACCTGAATTAAGGCCATTTGGGGATGATTCCCCTTATTAACTATGATTATAGTGAGGTCGCAGTGAGGTCGTTATAATTTACCCAGATATCTATATATGTATATATATATGTATATATATATGTATATATATATGTTCACATTCATCACACAGTGAAACTACAACATACTTCAACTAATGATTATATACCTGGTGCTTTTGGTGCTTGGGAATTCTTGGGATAGCCCATAGTGATTGTCCCCTTCTCAGGAAAACTAGGAGGCGCCTTGCGGCCTGCGCCGGGCCATGGGATTCTTTTTACACCCCTCATGCCACCATGGATTCCCATGGCTTCCGGGATTCCCATAGAAAGTTTCACCCCCTGGTGGTTTCAACTTTCGTGACAAATGCTGCGCGCTAATCAGAGTCTGTGAGAGTCTGTGGTGGTTTCAACTCTGATAAATGATGAACTTGAACGTCAGTTGCGATAATTTATGACATTCCCAACTGGAAATTCATAAAATTCCATGGTTCCAGTCACCACCAACCAGTGATTATTAACCATCATTACCCTCTGGTGAACTAACATAGCAATGGAAAATCACCATTCTTAATGGGAAAATCCACTATTTCTATGGCCATTTTCCATTGCTATGTTAGTTCACCAGAGGGTAACCATCATTAACCCATACATTTCACCAATGTTCCAGTCACCACCAAGCAGACCTCCAAAAAAAATTATCTCTTGGACCATATGGATGGTCCCAGCTGGTCCCATGTGCCAGCGGCCAGCGTGAGTGATGTTGCTTTGAGAAATCACCCCAAAAGCATTACGTTTGTTCGTGAAATATCAAGTTATATCCACCAAATGTCAACCATGAAAAGAATTCACCTTAAGTTATTATGTGCGATATCCCCCAAATGTCAACCATGAAAAGAATTCACCTGACAGCAAGTTATTCACTCGTGCGTCAGCGATTTCGTGTGGGGGCCTGACCTTGTAATGAAATGTTTACGCCGTGACGTCGCAGGGGGGGGAAAAACAAAAACTACTTTACAGCCCCCAAAAAATAGCACTAGTGTTGATCAATGATAATTCCCAAAATATGTATCCCATCAATAGCTATTGACATTTCAATTTCTATTGTCTGGTGACATCCATTATCTAGTGATTGGATGTGATGTGATTGGTTGTTATTTAGATATATTGAGATATGAATATCACCATGAATAAATCCAAGGGGTTTAATACTCCAAACAAATGAATCATGAATGTTCCCATTAATATCCGTTAATCTTTATATATAAATAAATCCATGCAGAGTGGCACCCACCAGTTATAAGTTGGTTTATATCCCCCATGAACTATAGATAGATCCCCTTAATCAACCCTAGTAAAATTGGACTTATGCTCAACAACTTGGCGATTCCGAACTGGGGCAACATCCTGTGTTTTCCCCATGTTCAGTGGTAAAAACACGAGTCCAGGTGGAAGCTTCTTTCGGCCAAGTGACCCTCGCAGGATGCTGTGCACTTGGACCAGTCCTGAAGATATATGACCAACATGCAAGTTATCCTACAATGTGGGGCCCCCCAGTTATGTTTGTTGATAAACGCCAGTAACTCTAGTTATAAGTACCATAAACCATAGTGAAATTGGAGTTATGTTCACCGATTTAGCTTTCGTTTAGGGGGGTGCACTTTGTAGCCATGTTTCACTGGGATGGTACGAAATCTTACCGGAACCGCCGGGAAAAAAAACGATACTTCATGAGAAAATCCGTGGTGTCCGTTTGATTTTCTCTGAAACCAAGGAGTTGAATGTTGAATGTTTAAATTGATTTTCAACATTCAACCCTGTTTGATTTTCTCTGAAACCAATCTACTGAATGTTGAATCAATTCTGTTTTTGGAGAAAATCTGCATGACGTTCTCCAATAATTTCAGGCACATCAACTGTCCAATGGATTTGTCCAATCCATTGAGGCTACCATTTCCTAGGGATGTCCCTGGGGATGATAGCACCCATTAAATCCATAATTTATAGCAAGCCGCAGGAAAAATTGAAACGCTATTTTCCAGGATGGTAGTGAATGATGATGGTTTCCCGATATGTTCCAGGTCCAATGATGGTTTCCAACTTTGAAAAAAAACTTTTTGGGTTGCTGTATCATGCTAGTACGCTATTGCATCACCCAGCTTGACGCCACCCGGGAAAAGCCTAGCATTCCAGTGGATTACCCAGGCAAACCCGGCGCTGCATCATGGCGTGAGACGTTCCCCGTTTCGACGTATCCCATGAATCCGATGAGATGGTCTTCTTGTGGAAGGTACCCTCTGGTAATCATACAAAAAGCTATTGAAAATGACCATTTATAGTGGATTTTCCCATTGAAAATGGCGATTTTCCATAGTTTTTGTAAGTTTACCAGAGGGTACTTGGTGGCGAACTACCCACGGCTCGTGGTTGTGGGTTAGTGAACTACCCAGTTTTTTGAGTGGATTAATCCGCTCCAAAAATCCCATGTAAATCACTGGGGTTATATATAACCCACAACCACGATTCGTGGGATGAGCCACCAAGTGATCACTTCACAAATCCGTTTTGCTTAGGAGTCGGGAATATTTTCCCAGCCTTGCTCTTCCATCCTCCTTCCAACAGATTCTTCACTGACCTCTTGATCAAGGCCTCGTTTCTTAGCAGCGCACCACCTCTCGTTCTGGACAAAGCTAAAGTCTCCACTTTTCCGATCTTTTCCGATGGTATTGCTTTTCTGGTTGGTGGTATACCTACCCCTCTGAAAAATATCAGTCAGTTGGGATGATTATTCCCAATATATGGAAATTCATAAAACATGTTCCAAACCACCAACCAGTTTTTGTATCTTGGGGCTTTGCTGGCCATCTTTTTTTGCCTGTGCTTTGACATCGGGTTTCACCTTTTGTCTTCGTGGTCTCCGTGTCAACCAGATTGACAGCTTCCAAGATTTCCTTTTGCTACAAAAGCCGCCGTTTATAAGGAATGTTAAACTTACTTGTGCTTAGTAGGGAATGAGTGAATGATCCACAATCACTATCAATAATAATCCCATTCCCCCATTCCCATCCATCCCCTACGTTTAGCACCAGTAAGTAAATTGCCATGTTTGATTACCGGAGGGTAAAGCCTCAGTTTCCCTTCAGAAGTTAAGGATATTTCGTGGGATCAAAGGCTGGATCAAAGGCATGTGATGGTTTAAGTTCGACTAGAAAAAACGTTGTTGTGTGGATTTGAGAGTTCTGCAGTTTTTTTGTAGTGGACAAACTCAGGAAGTCCATGTTTCGTTGGTGAGTCACATCAAGGTGACCATCAGGGTGATGTGAACGTTGGTCACCAAGCACAACAAGGGCGAATCTGAAGCATGCTAAACGCCGTCAGACATAATACAAGTTACTTGCACATTAACCTGCCTATATATATAATTATATATATACATATACACATACATATACACACATAATATATATATATATAGCAGTCTAAAATCTTCATGATACTTCATGGGTATGGGTGAACCCTAAAAAAAAGCTGGCAAATGGATGTACATTCCCCAAACTATATATATATATACGTATACATATACATATCATGATTTTTCTGAGTAAATCAACGAAGATATTTTCCCTCATCCCAGGGGTCCCACCGCGCTCCCGCTCCTGCCAGCTTTCCCAACTGCATCCAGACCCAGCCGATGCCGTCGCGTTGGCGGCGCAGGGTGCCAGACTGCAGGGCCCGTGTTGTTCAGACGCTCCCGTACAGGGCGCGCCGTTCTGCTGCCTGAGGATGTTGAACCTCGTGTGTCATATATGGTCTCATATATCTATTCATCATACAATATGTGTGTATACATATATATATATATACATACATATATATATATATATATGTATATTTACATGTATATATATATACGCACATCATTATATATATTTAGTATATATATATACCTAGGAAGCTGGGCAACCATTTATTTTTGGTCGTCAACCACTTTCATTTCAGAATTGGTCGTTTCGAAAATCTATGGTCGTTTCGTAGAAATGCCCTTGGACCCCATCACCTTAGGTAGCTACATTTCATGTTGCGCACCTTTTTTTCCTTCCTTCAAGCAGCTTCAAGCCTGAAAGCACCTTCAATTGCCACTAAGTAGCGGTGAATGATCCTGGTACCATTCACTTTTGCAGAGCATCTTCTTGACATCCTTGCCACATGCCCTACGAAGTCTTCGCACTGAAAAGTTGAAGATGACAATGGGTTTACAACAGCAGATGGGTCGATGCGATACTCTGTAAGCATTCGTAGGAGGATATGCGAGTACATGTGGACCTTTGGCGTCACCTTATATAAACACTGCTTTCGGACCACGCAAACAGAAGCCAAGCGCATGAACATGCGAGAGAACTCAAGCCCGGAGAGAATAGCGTCTTTTGCTCCTTGAGGTGTGAACCAAAATGACGACCCAAACAAAATTCGCAAGAACGTCCCGATGGCCTTGCACCCATCCCGGATACTGAGGATCACAAAGTCAGAACTCCATTCACCATTGGATGCAACAGTTTCATCAACCAACCACTCGACAAATTTGACAACAAACGATGTGTCAGCACCCTTTGACCAGCGACCAAATGGATAGTGGCGACCAGATTTGTATCCAAGTAGTTCCTTAGAAAATTTTCTTCCAAAGTGTGCTCGCTCTGTTTTGTGCAAAGCAAGGTAACGCTGGAGTTCTCCATTGATTGCATCAATGCTGGCATCGATATTCCTTTTTTTGAAGACTGTTTTGGCAAGGTATATCAAAGATGATGACGCGAAGTCTTTCCCTACCCCAAAGTAGTATATATGAAAGGTGTCCGGCAAATAGAAGCTAGCAGGGTCATTCTGGTCCATGAACAAGTGTTCCAAGAGCGGGGATTGGGATGTCCAGGGCAAAGGATTTCTGGGACCAACTGTGCCGAGCCAATCCGCAGTCAAGATGTTCACATCCTCATAAGCTGGACCATTTGTACGGCCAGCATCACACAGCCAGCAAACACCTTTCAAGATCCGATTCGAAGCAGCACTTTTTCGAACATTCGAGAATGATCTATTGTGACGACCAGCTTCACGAAGAAAGGGAGCATCCCCTGTGAGGCCAAGCACTCCAATTTTCCAAGTGTCACCCCCAAATTCGAAACCTGTTTCGAAGAGGTCCTTCATTTTTTGCGCCCATATATCAATCAGTTCGTCAAACCGATGGTGCTCATCCTTGTAGTATTCACATTTCAGGGCAGTGAAGAGAAATCTGTTTGCCAAAGATCTACCTCGAAGATTGATACCAGCTGAAAATTTTGGTGTTTCCGAGCTGTTGCCATGGCAATCTGGATGCGGCCGCTTCACTCCTCGACCAGGCAAGGGCTGGAGATCGACAGGGTTTGCTCTTGTCCCTTCCCCCAGCGCTGGGTAAGCACTGAGAATCAAAATCCCGTTTTTTTTGTATGTCCGTCCACCGTCTCCGTGTAAGTAGAACGGAATCAAATGGTCATAGTCAACATTTTCTTGCGAATGAAGTGAGTGTTGTGGATACAGGGAGCGATGCTTTCGCCAAAACTCCGGCAGTGTCTTGTGAGCATATGCAATGGGTACTCCCAAGATCTTGTGTATGAATCCACGCTTAGCCACTTCATGTAACAACATTCTCGGGTCAAAGCAGGGGTATGCGAACGTATCATCAAGCTGAAGCGTTGTTGTAGGCACGTTGAGAGCTAAGCCACATGCTTTCAAAGCTACAAACAAAGGTTCATCAGCAGAATCCAGTTTCGCACTGGCAATCTTTGCCAAAACACGGCATGAATCTTTTTTCCGGGCAGCTATCGCTGCTTCCACACACTCTTTCGCAGGAGCCTCGGCTCCATGGGATACATGGTGATGTTTTTCATGCGAACATGTCCATCATTCAAGAATACAAAATTGAAAACATGTGTTGCCTAGCTGCCTAGCTGATGCTTGTGTTTGGTTTGCAGGCAGGAAGCTCCACGGGCATATATTTTGGCAATGTGGTAGACGGTGTCACTCAGCTCTGCATTACCTGCGTGGTTTCGGGTTGGAGATCGTTTCACAATAAAAAATACGGTGCACATGGTCCCATGTGGCTGTGGAAAATCAAAGGATGCTCGCAAGTTCAATAGCGCGGCATCACAAGGTCAAAACTTCTCAACTCGAAAGGGCCTTTTCTTTTTCACTCGGGCTATTCCCCAGGTGCAGTGTATAGGATCTATAGCCAAAATGCCAATTGTTTATGGCATGGGCCTTTCCCTACTGCAGTATACCCCAACTTCGATTGAGACAGCATCCCATCAACATGGTGATCAACTATAATGAAAATCAGATTTCACAAGAAGGAAAATAGCCATGCAATGATGATAGCTTTCATCCAACTTTCACAGAACTCGCTGGGATGGCATCGTATGAAACCAAATATTTTGCGCATTGCTATATGCCCTTGAGCTCAAAACATCTCAGTCCTCAGTCTTAGAGCGTCGATGCTTCTTGGCCTTTGTCACGAAGTGCCTTGCAAACCCAGGTGTCGAATCATGATCGATATGTTCATACTGACTTCAAGACTGATGAGATGGTATCTTGGGAAACTACTTGCAAGCAGCTTCCACCGAAGTTCCCTTCGAAATCCTTGGCTGCAATGTGCGAAGCATGTAAACTTTGACATGGATCGATATATTGCGAATATATCGTACATGGGGTTTCAAATAAACCTATATGAACACACATTGCAATAATATATGCATGGTATGAATGCGTAAAATGAAATTGTTTGCAGTTGAGCTTCGCTTTGGTCAAGGCTGCGAATACGTCCTCCAGCTTTTTGTTGTGCCTTGCGAATGTCCGAGTAGTATGTGATAGGCTTCTGTGAATTTTATTCAAATTCAAAGATTCTGCTGGACTCACTAGAATTATGACATACTGCCGCCATGGAACTCAGCCGTGAAACCATTGATGGATCCCTCCGCTTGGATATCAGACAGTGTTTCGTAGTGCAAGTCGATGGATTTGATGATGCTGTTGAGCTTCTTGTAGTTCCTGAGCCAATGGATCGGAAATCATCTAAGGACATATGCTACTTTTTATCCGACGAACTTCAACCAACTGCGAGCTGAGCTGGATTCTTCAACATGCTAGATTTCGCCAGAAGGCTCGGCACAGGATTCATCGCCGTCAACAAGAATTTTGATTTTGTCGCCGAGGTTTGACAAATTGTTCTTGGTCTTCAAGGCATTCTTCAAATAGGACCCAAGTTTTGACTGTGCCTAAGTTCTTACAGGGATCAATGCCAAAAAGAATGGATAAATCAGATCACATATGCCAACTCGAAATTTAAATGCATAGATACGGTCACTTGGCTGTCCCCTTCCAGATCCATGCCGCTGGCACCCAAATCAGCATTGAATCCACCTGCACCCTCAGTGTCCTCGGGGCCATCCCCTAGTGCGAAAGAGTCCGCACCAACCGTTTGGTCATGAGTGCGCTCCCTTGACATGGTCTCGACATCCTCACGCGACAAAGTTCCCGAAGTGCGTGTGTTGACCCAATACTCAGGCGTGTCCTCATCGTATTCACACAACCTCGCAGAATTTTGAGCGTGGGCTAGTGCAGACTGGTTGCATGGACACACACACAGACACACATGCACACACCCTGGCCTCACGAGCTTCTTGCTGATCGCCCATTTCTTGATCTTCTCAATGCGGTCCCTTGTGGCCACATGGAGTCGTGAAACAAAGAAATCAAAATCATAGCCGCTACATCAACTGTTGCATGGTTTGTTCGAACTATAAAGATATTCTTCGCAATAATGCTGCAATCCAAGAACTCTTTGTAATTTAACTCCTTCTTCATGTCTTCTTCGGAATAGAAACCACCAGTGACTTGGAGTTTCTTGCTTCGCGTGGTCGATGACAAAATTGTGACCCTTTCCAAAAACACTGCCTATAGCGGGAAAGATTCGATGGGTCAGCCCATGGCTGGGGGCTTAAAGGACTCCATTTTTTTCGAACCAAACAACGTATGATTCCTGCCTTAACACCTCCGCTCTTAGCCCAAAGTGCATAGAGTTTCTCTTTCCCAGCTTTCGTGTTCCACAATTTGAAAATATCATTGGGTACTTCGAGATGACCACTGCTTCCCTTGGGTGTGACCACACGTGCAACTTTCTGCTTTTCATTCCGAGTCATAGTGGCTGCATGCATCACAACTGGGTACTCAGCTTCATCACCACTAGTTTCTTGCACGGACATGGGTTTCGTCCCAGCAGGGACGGGTGGAGCTGCCGCAGGTGAAGTCCTGGTCTCCTCCGGTACTGCAGCTTCTGACCGCTTCGCTCCTGGAACCTGGGCAAAATTACAAATTGGATGTGGGAGAGGTTAGACCGAGGGACCAGTGGGCTTTACAAGGAACGAACTAAGCTATTGAGGGCAAGAAACACTTTGAACTGATCCACATCCGTTGGTCAAAGCCTTGATCTGGGCCTGTTGCTTCTCGATCACAGCCAGTAGCTCTTGATACTTCGCATCTTGTGTATCCTGAATGTTCAAATCCGATGAAAACACTTGGGTCCTGCGCAATATCCAACTAGAGCTGTACGAAAGGGTTGGATTTCAAGAATGCATGTGCATGTCATATCGATTCAAAGAAAATGGTCAAGTGGATTGTGTAGCCCCATGTGTGTGTCCCCATTATAATGAAAGTCCTGTTGGAAGAAAACTGCATTACAAGGAGATTTAAATTCAATCTAGGATCAGGGGAACCAGGTGCAGCTGATGGCGTAAATGCCGCCAAACATTCACCTCCTTCATGTTCCACCCTCTTTGGGAAGACCAAGCTAGACTCACGGGCCACAGGCTCGTTGGACAAACTCACATCATCCAGCTCAGATGCAAGACTTCGGGCAACACTTGTAGGTGAAACAGTAGGAGGACATGCCTTCGCACTTGGTGCTTGGCTGGGACCCAACAAGCGTGCAATCCGTTGATTCGTGTCAACCCGAGGTTTTTTCGATGGCGCCTCTCCCTCTGGTGTGCGGGGTGCAGGTGCCCGGAGTCCCTGCATTGGCACCGGTGGAACTTTTGGGGTTGGCGTAAGAGAGTCACATGGAGTAGCCACAGTAGATACACCATTGGCTGGTGGGGCTGGGGCAGAACCTTTGCAAGCTGTCGGCTTTTGAAACTTCCGAGTTTCACCCTTCTCGTCCAAGGATGGTGACGGTGAAGTAGCCTGCATGCATGGTGTAAATATCCATGGTATCATATGGTATGTGGTACTTCTAAGAACCATGTGAAACTTGCATGGGCTAGAAATCAGACATCAAAAACCCATCAACTGTATCCCCCAAATCTGCCTTTGGAGGTGCTGGCAGACTTGCACGCAGTTGCGCCAACTCCTCAGCAGTGGCTGGAATAGTTGTGGCATCAGAAATTCCACGAATCAGCATCGTATTCTTGGGCGCCATCCTTGACAGCTCCTGTCGGGCACGAATCAGTTCATGTTGGATTGGTGTTATGTTTGTGGTAACCTTTATAAGGGCCATTAGGGTCATTGCCGTAACTTTACCATCATCTATCCTCGCAATACAATAATTCGAACCAAATCCCCCAAGATCCTCATGCAACCTCAACAACTCTGCAGGGTCATCTGGCAGCTCATTCTTCACAGCTTGAACATCCATGGCATATATGCCAGACAGCAAGGTCTCTGCTGACCGGCTGTGGCGAAGAACCGTTGCTGGGGCTGGGCTTGGCCTGTACGCTGAGGAGGCAAGACTTATTGGGTACGACAGAAGCCAAACAGGTTACCAGAAGGGCTTGTATGAAAGTTTCGCACTTCGAAACGCCAAATTTCGAAACAAATCATTCAAAACTGCACAATTTCGAACCCAATCCTTCGAAACTGCAAAATTGCGAAATATTTCCACGAATTACCTGCGAAAACGTGCAATTTCAGAAATGGTCGTTTGCATGGATGGAATTGGTTGTTTCACGCATGGAATTATTGGATGTTACTTGCATGGAATTGGTTGTTTCAAAAATTCGAATTTTGTTCGAACTCACGAAATCATTCAAAAGTGAGCATGGCAGGTTCGAAATCTAGATTCTGTCTTGGTTTCGAAGCCAGGTTCCTTGTTTCGCAAAATAATACGTTATCAATGCTCGAAATAACAGTTTAAATGAAACCCATCTCATGCATGTGGGGCACAGTATCATTGCGAAGCAAAAGTCAACCTAATCATATTTTGGTTTGTGTGCCATGTACCAGGATTCGAACTGGTTTTCCCAGCCTTGTAGACGGAGAAGGCCCGGCCATCCCAAAGCTGCTGATGGGCTGGGGTGCGAATCTATATATTGCCAAGCCAAGATGCTTTCGATATACAATTTTTGATCAATGTTCAGGTTTACGAATTTATGCAAAAGACATCGCATATGATTTGTGGCATACACCCAACACACACCAAGCAAGGTCATCAAACACATTTTTTCTATCGTTTTTTCCCCGGTGTCATGGGTCATGCCATGAGAATCCCTGAAATTTGCATTTTTATAAATGCTAGATCCTGGTAGGAATCATTGATTCGAATTGGGGCGGCACTTTCAAACCACGTGCTCCCAAGACATAGTGGGCTAAGCCAGGGAGGCCGGCATCCACCCAGCGGTCCCCGAGGCCCTCTGACTGATGCCACAGATTCAGAAGCTGCTGGGCTGGATCAGCTGAAGAAGGCTTGGGGTCGATCCGTTTGGGTTTCAAGATGCGGGTCATGTGGAAAGCAAAAGCCTTTGTGTAGGTCCTTAGTCCCAATCCCAAACCTTCGGGGGGGCAATAAAGTATCGATATGTTATATAGCGGGGATCATGAAATTCAAAAGAAATGACAAACATAATTACTATATTTTTCGAGGCTCCCAGTTGACTTGAGTTGTTTGGAACCGAAATATCTTTTCCGGCCATCCTTGTCCACATACTTGATAGTGCTCTTGAAATTCGGGTTCTTTCTACGAAGCTTTTCTCGTAGCTTTTTTGTCAATCGGCCCAACCAAAACTTTCGAATTTCGGGACGGGTGCTCCACACTGTTGTTCTCTTTGGAGTTTTGGATTTAAAGTAGGCCATCCAAAAGCTTACTCTCCATACCTGAAGGGCCGATGATTTGCATTCGAATTGAACACTTTGGTTTTAAATTAAGAACATAGAGAATCTTGTTGGGTTGTAACTGCCCCTTCTAAAACCCGGCCTTCAACCGAGAGCAAAGCCATTGCAGTCTTGGGTGACGAAACAGCAATGAGCTACACGGTTGTTCCACACAGAAATCTCCAGAAAGAGCAAAAATTAGGAGACATACCAATGCTGTTACAGCTCCCATTTGGTTGCCCTCCTGGACACATCGAAGCTCCTCCCGACCAAGTGGTCGAAGAAACGACCGCATTGTCGTTCCGCGACATATTGATACCCAAGTTGCGCAAAGAACTCCTAGCCACACCATGAAACCTGTCTCGGAGCAGCGCAAGACGCTGACCAAATGTGTCCTGAGCACAGGCTACAAGTACGATACCCTGTATAGAATTACGAAAATCATGCTGCGTAATTTCATGCTCTGCCAAAAAATTAAGGTCATATCGCAAATCCTGGTGGAGTGAGCACATCCATGGAACGGTGGTACAGTTTATCAAGACCCACACTTGCACCGAACTCTTTCGATGCAGCTTTGGTCATTTCTGCTTGCCCTGCATAGTGCTCTACGAATCGATATTCCTTAGGCACTCTGTGCATGCCACATGTCTACAAGATTCACACCCTACTGCCAAAAGCGTGCAATTGCATAGGCATATTCGAAATGTATAATTTTAGAGAAGGAACTTTGTTCAGGTCGATGCGCTCATTCCACATTAGGCATAAGACGCATAGGACAAACAACTGCCCGCACACATCCATGAAAATGCATGGGGAATCACGGATGTTGTGTGTTGATTCTATCCAAGAAATTCGCAAAGAAGTCAGTGAAACGCAAAACTCATGCCTTCGGAGCGCCACATTGGAGCAAAGCAATGCCAACATTTTCAGGCTTCCGCGGCATGGTGAAGGAAACCGAAAAATCAAATATATGTATAGCCTTCTTGAACCCTCACACAGCGTACATTTCGGCCGGAATGTGTTGCAGAATCATTGGCAAATAATTATTGGCAATGGAATCACATGACATATCTCACCCATTTCAAACAAACAGCCATATAGTAAAACAACATGGTCGCCATAGAACATGTGCATGGCCTAAAGCACCATCCAGCGGCTGGCCGGGGCAGGCCTTCTCGTCTTCGTCGCAAAGCTGGAGGCTTGTGGCCGGGACGGAAGCCAAGATTGGCCAGCATCTGTACCTGGAAGATGGCGGGCACCACAATGGAAAGGGCTGGGGCTCATAGGCCCCAAGGAGGGAGGAAGACTTTTTTCGGGCACCACATTTCGGAGATAAAATTTGTTCTTAACTTCAAACAAAGGTTGCGAACTCGTGCATTCGTGTTTTTCACACTAGTGCTGAAATCCAGCGAGTCGGCGAGTCACTAAGAGCTTTCCCTTTCCCCTGCTTGGCCCATTGTAGTTGTGACTGGAACCAACCCCAAGGAATATGAGCATGACTATGGTTGCATGTTTCATCATTTTGCACAACCACGGATGGGATCTATAGCCTCGGGGGGGTCAGCTCGAACTTGGTTTGGACATCGGCTGGACATGGATCAAAATGAGTATCATGTAGCGTGGATTCCGACAGGCCACTCACTTCGAAGCATTCTCCTTCTTCTTCTTGGTGGCAGGCTCCGCAGTTGCAGGACTGAAGCTTTGGATGTATGCAGATCCCGTAGAATTCATGCAAGCACCTGGGAGGGAGCGGCTTATTGGCCCAAAATATATCGGGAATTGAGGTGGTCGAAATGTACATTTTTTCCCAATATGCAATTTCAAAGCCAAGTTGCAGACATGCTCCAGGCACAGGAAATCGTAGAGCACCTTTTCCTTGAGGGCCTTGAGTTTGCCACCATTGTTGGCGAGGATTTCATTGCAGTAGTGCCACCAGTAGTCCTGCAGGGGAATTGCCGAATCAAAGAAATCCGAAGTAACATGGAGTAACGTAACTTTAAACACTAACGAGCACTGCATGGTAAACCCCACCAGTCCTCCACATAGGTGTGGTGATCGACCTTGTCCCTCACAAAGGAATTGTAGGAGTCACGAATCGCATGCCATTTGTCCCAACTCGAAGCTCTGGGGGCACGTTTCGCAAAGGTGCTCTTGCCCTCCTGGTTCTCCTCCTTCTCTGTCATCTTCTTCGCCTTCTTCTCATTCTTCTCTGTCTTCTCCACTTTCTCCTTTGTCTTGCCCTTCTTCTTCTCAGTCTCAACATCCTCAGCTTCTGGCTGACTGGCATCAGGCTTCTTGCGCTTGTGCATCTTGACCTTGACTTTTTCAGCATCGGGCTCCTCAGGCTCCATCTCGCTATCAGCAACAACTTCAGCAACATCTGGTTTGGAATGCACAGGTTTCGAAGGCTTGCTGCTGCCCTTGGAACTCTGCGTGGCTTTTGCCTTCGCTTTGGGTGTTGCCTTCGCCTTCGCCTTAGCTTTTGCCTTGCCCCGTGGTTTTTTCTTCCGGGGCTTTTCCTCCTCCTCATCCTCCTCCTGATCATCGTCCTTTTCATCTTCATCCTCCTCCTCAGAGTTTTCATCACCTTTGGCTTTTCGAGCCTTGGCCTTCGACAGAGAAAGCTGCTGGGTGCGCAGGAATTCCTTGATCCCACCATCACCAGCAGCTTCAGGCACTTCCTGGTCGAAGGGGCCCAGTTTGTGAAAGATACCTAGAGACTCGAGCGACATCAAAATTTTGATGCTGGTCTAGCAAAACAGTGTTTCATCTGATTGCCGCTGAAATTTCTGGCATGCGCCGTTCTTTGGGAAACAAATATGGTTTTAGATTTTGGTGTTGGAATGCGCCGTTTTTGCCAATGATTGCACCGTTTTTGCCCGTGATTGCGCCGTCCTTGCCCGTGCAGAATTTCCATTGCGCCGTTTTTGTGGAATTGCGCCATGTTTTCTACATTGCGCCATTCTTGTGGACTTGCGCCTGATTTTTTTGTAGGTTGGGAATGCGCCCGAAATTTTGGATACATGAGTCTCTAGGTATAGGGCTAACATGGTGATTGAAATGGATCGAATTTAGAATTAACACGCATTAGTTGTTACTTGACATATGCATGCGTACATGCATGCTGAATAAAGTCAGTCCTTCGACATCTGCTCCAAGTTAGCTTGTTCAGCTTTCGCAATGGCATCAGTGATGTCGCCAGAATCCATCTCGAGCGTCGGCATGTTGTCAGGACAAGGGTCTTTCGAACCACCTGTTTGCCCATGGGAAGGATGGCTAAGACGAAATGAACCATATGTTTTTGACTTATTCGTGCTATATTTTTCATTCTTTCGATTAAACTTGATGGTTTCAAATGGGAAATTTTCAGAACAAATGCTACACCTCACCTGCCGGACATGTAGCAGGCGCAGCAGCTGGCACGGAAGCATCTGGCTTACCTGGAGGCGCTGTGGCGGCGATGCCCCGGATAGCGGCCGCATGATGGGCTTGGTTCCTGGCAAGCCATCCACTGAAAAACGAAAGTCAATTATTATTTAAATTGGCAACAAAAATTAAAAAACGGATTCAAAGAACGAGGGTTGAGGTAGCTTATGATGTGAAATTTCAAATTGTAAAGAATGAATTTCAGGCGAGGTGCAGTTTCATTTTGACAGCTCGCAAGAGCTTCAACACTGCATCACCTTGTCCATGGTCAGAAGCTGGGGTCGCAGGCATATCCACAGGTTGTGAATCGTCAAAGCTTTCGGGAATCTGGGAATCCACAACAGGCTGTTCACCAAGACCCTCTGGGGAATCAGGCACAGCAACCACTGGGTCACGGTCACCCGATGCAGGCTGTGAATCTTCAACGCCCGCTGCCTCCACGGCCTCCGAAGGACAGTGAATCTCGGCAGCATCCGCTGCATCCGCTGCATCAGCCATGGTTCTCATTTCCGTATATGGATCCATTATATCGAGACCGTTGTCAGAGTCAGAGCTGCTGCGGCTCAGAGTATCACGAACGCAATGGTCACTAGGAGGTGACTCAGAATCATTTTCTTCTGCATGGTGGATGTATGCAGTACGACCTTCCTAAGCTGCAAAGGGGATTGGAGTACCTAGGATGCCTAGGATCAAATTTTTATGTAATGTTCGAAAGGTACAACCAGAAAGTATAGCATGAATAAAGATCGGATTTCAATCATTCCCAGTCTCAGAAAGGGCTTTGTCCCACGCAAAGCTGATGTCTTTCACCAGATCCCGGACAAACTTGTCCTAGAGTCAGCAATGGTGCAATTCCAAAATGGCATATTTGAGAGAATTCATAACCATTTCATGCGGGGCTCAATGAAGATAAAACATATATTCAATACAAGCATGGTGCCCGTGGCATTTCCCATCTTGACCACTTTCGCTTGACCACTCCCAACATTTTTTTGATCACGACAGCTTGTCCCGCACAAACCGCCTTTGCAGCGGGATGCTTCATATCGATTTCCATGAGTTCGTAAAATTTCGTAAGTGGCTCCTTTAGTAGAACAACGTTTTTCGTGACCACACAGCCAGATCGAGCCATGTGTTTGGTGTAGGCTTTCAGCAGGGTGTAGTTCAAACGAATATTGCCCAAAGATTGTGGGATGTGCATTCCAAGATCCTCCTCATCATCGCTGTTTTCTTTTTCCCCTACCAGCAAAGGATTGCCCTTGATGGCACGTTTTCTCAACTCACGATGGCCTTCCCATGCACGAACACATGATTCCCCAAAGGAGAAGGGCCTGGTGCCCTCCATCTCAAAAATATCCCTATAGTCAAGCCAAAAGGGCTGCATAAATAATATTAAAATAATATATGATTTTCGTTGTATTCATCCATCACATATTTTCCGAACCCACCAAAATTTCCCACGGTTGGGCACGCTGCCAAGACCATCTGGGCCCCAAGGTTCGTTTGACCTGGCATTGGGCAATTCCGCGTCGAATGGATTTGTCTGCGGTGTAAAAAAAGAGCGAATGAAATCACGTCAGTGGTACCTTCTCCGGACATAGCTTTGCCGGCAGAGGATGGCATGCAAATGAAGGTTGAATACATGTCGTTTTTGGTTCGTGCAGTTTCTGATCTATTAAATTGGTGATCTCTCTAACTTCTTTTCGAACTCTTGGTCACTTGGTTTCGCCATGCGTTTCGAACTTGGGCCATCCTGGCAGAAATGGTCGTTTCGCAGAGAAGTGGTCGTTCACACAAACCACTAAAACTTTGTGGTCGTAAGGTTTCACAGGTATATTATTATTATTATACTATATGTATATGTATATATGTATATGTATTTGTCGTCATAATCCCCAAACAAATCCAAACAAACACAAGTCAAAAATAATCGTTTGATTTTGGCCATGCCATCTCCAATCCCTGGCTGAGGTCTGAGGCTTTGATCCACCCCCAGCCCAGCTGACTTGAAGCTGTGGCCCTGCAGACTTTTTGATAGAAAACCGCATATGAACTTTCATAGCTATGCTGCATTTCCATATATTTCCATAGGCTAATTTTTGCTGTTATACTATATTATACTATGTTATACTATGGTTCTGGGTCCCCGATTAGTCCATACCAGTACAATGTAGTTCACACCAATTTAGATGGGATTTTATGCATGTTCATCCTCCAAGATATTATGAAATTCCTGGGTGCATGGCCCAAAAAACAAAAAATGACCTGCCGTGACTCAGCGTCACCTGCCGGTTTTTGTGGAGACACTCCGCCACTACTTCTCATCGACTTACCATGATGTCCAAGTCAGAAATGTTGGCCCACATTTTGCTTTTCCCATGTATAAACCATCATTTTTAATGTGGTAAACCCAATAAATCATCCCAAAAATCACAATTTTCATAGGTGGTATGTTTACCATTCCCAATGTGGTGTATTATTGTTTTACCCACATTATCCCCAATTCCAATAGATAACAAATTGATGGGTGGTGCTCCAACCATTCCCAGCAACTTTGTGGCCGCCAGGGTCTCCCATAGGTGCTGCTGATTTGCTCTCGCATCGCCACCCATCGCTTGCGTTCTTGCAAGCCTCCCGAAAAAAACCGCTTGGAATGGCTCAAGGATGCAGTTAAGGCCCGAAATACAAGTTACATACAATGTGGGCCCTCCCCAGTTATAAGTTGGTTTTTAAGCCCCAGTAGCTAGTTCGTTTTAAGTACCATAAACCATAGTTATTGGAGTTATGTTCACCAACTTAGCTATCGTTTGGGGGCCCCACTTTGTATAAATGGCTATAAATGGCATGGTTGTAAATGGTTGTAGTTGGTTATAACTGGATTTTTTGGTTATGCTTATAAATGGGTTATCATTCCGCACATGGGGTTATTTCACTGACTTATAAGTGGTATAACTCGGGCCATAAGTGTAGTGGACTCACCAACTGGCAAAACCCTGTTGGGGGAGGACCAGAACCAGAGGATTCGCTCACGTAAATGCCACTTGGACCTGGTCTCCCAAACGAAGGGTGAATAAACATGAACGATTGAAACAATGCCAGTATATAGTATATAAGTAGTATATAAGTAGTATATAAGTAGTATATAAGTAGTATATAAGTAGTATATAAGTAGTATATAAGTAGTATATAAGTCTAAGACAAGGAAAGGCACAACAATGCGTCTTTCTTCAGCAAGAACAAGGCCAGTCAGCCAACTCTTCACCTGAACAGCCAGTGCCAAGTCCATTCCGCACTGAAATCCCAAGGAACTCAGATATATTTGTAGCGATTCAAGTAGCTGGTACATAATGTTTGTCCATTCCGCGGTGTGGTCCTCTAGGAGCACTCAACATGTCATGCCCGAATGTTGCCCGAAAAATCTGATCACAAGGTGAAGCAAGTCTACTTGTCATCCTCTCTGTTGCTCGGAGGATTCTTCGGGCCTTTCTTGTCAATGTCCACATCTGGCGCTAACCCTTCAGCTCAGTGACTTCCAGCGTTGGGGCAGTCTTCAGCTTCGAATCTTCAAGCTGTGGGGCTTTTGCCGCTGTTCTGATGGCTCTGATGGGCAGTCAATCTGAAAAGCGCAAAAAATCGAGCTGGTGAATCGCATGGATCTGCTCAATCTGCCAGTGTTCAAGTCACAGATCAGAGCAGACCACTCGATACGGTGATGTGACCACCGTATCGAGTATCTCCAACATGCATGCGAGGGCAATCTCATCATGCATTATATATATACCTGGTTGGAACATATTGGACCCAACCAAATACGGTTATCAACTGGCATCATCTACGTTACGTATTCACATATATGTGTACGTATATAGAGATATATATATATATACTGGTTGGTGGTATACCTACCCCTCTGAAAAATATGAGTTCGTCAGCTGGGATGATGACATTCCCAACTGAATGGAAAGTCATAAAATTCATGTTCCAAACCACCAACCAGAATAACATAGCTATGGAACAGTGGATAAATCAACTGTAAATGGCAATTTTCAATAGCTATAGCAGCTATGTTAAATTACCGGAGGGTATATAACATTTATAACATTGTTAGTGGGTCTTGAGATACCCCATAAAATCATTGGTTTCTCAAAAAGACCAAGAATTTGGATGATTTTTGGACTCTCCCATGTTCAGAACCCCCAAAAATAGCCAGGATTTTTGTGTTCACTATTTCATGGCGATGAAAAACCCAGTTGACTCATAAAGTTTGATGGCAAAACTACGATCTTTTTTAATCCAGGATATCTATATAAAGAAACACTTGCTCTCAAGTGAAACTGAAACATGGCATGGTGTGAAACTTTAATATAATCCAACATCATTCTTATACGTAAATAATGGTAAATACCACATACCCTCTGGTAAACTAACGTAACTATGGAAAATCACTTTTTTAATGGGTAAATCCACTATAAATGGCCATTTTCAATAGCTTTTTGTATGTTTACCAGAGGCTATGTCATAGCGAATCTATAGGATCTCTCAGCGCGCGAGCGCGCGCCTTCACCGCAGGTCACAGAGCAAAAGGACCACGCACCTTTGAGCGCCGTCAGTATCAAGTCACCCCATTTATGGAACAACCCCGGTTACAAGTGAAATAACACCATGTTTATGGAATAATCCCATTGAAATAACCATTTATAACTGGTATAATTATAAAGGGCCTTAAGTGTAGAATACTATAGACATAGATCTACGATATAAAGCAATATCCAGGTTGGATTTGAAGCAAACAAGTTCTGAACCTCATGTGTGTGTATATTTATAAGTAGATCATATTATATGACCTAGACCCTCCAAATATCCTTCAACAGAGTAAAATACTAAGATTATGGGATAACACACCATTTCTGAAGGGGACAAGCGGAGGGTCTAGGTAGACATATATCATATATCTACAATATCTTAAAAACCTATAAAACCAGACTTCCATACATCTCTTGGAAGAAAACCATAAAACATCAAAAACAACTACGCTTAGCTGGGAAAAACAAACTATATAAAGCAAAAAACAATCTACACTTATCTTGGAAGAAAACTATAGAAAAGATCAACAAAACCTACACTTATCTTGGAAGAACACTACATAAAACATCAAAACATCTACACTTATCTTGGAAGAAAACTACATAAAACCTAAAAACAATTGCACTTATCTTGGAAGAAAACTATAGAACACATCAGCAATTCTACACTTATCTTGGAAGAAACCTATAGAAAAAAAAAAACTGCATTTATCCTGGAAGAACACTATATAGAACATAAAAAACTACACTTATCTTGGAAGAACACCATGTAAAATATCAACAAATCTACGTGTATCTTCAAATCTTCAAAGAAAATTAAAAGAAAAGGATAAAACACCCCCTACATGGTCCCAAATTGTCTGTAAATCGAAGCATCGTTATCATGTTTCAAATTTTATTATTCAATCACTGAAAGGATTGTCATACCTTTCTATATATGCTGTTCTCAATCATATCCCTTGTATATCCCCTTGTTGGGGCCTCCCAGCGATGTGAACGTTGGTTTAAAATCCCTGGCAACTAGTTCGTTATAAGTACCATAACATCATCTAACATCAACTAACATCATTAACATCAACTAATATCGACTAACATCAATTAACTATAGTTTTAAGTTATAAATATCATAAACCATAGTGTAATTGGAGTTATGTGGCCCCCAACTTCGCGATTTTGTTTGCGGGGGCCACACTTTGTGGTTATCTTAGTTTTTTTTGCACCAGCTTAGATACGCGGGGGCACCACACCCCATGAAAAAACACCCAAAGATACTTGGAATATATATATATACCATTATATATCATTATATGTTATAAACCAAACGAATATTTATCCACCACATCCCATTAAATCACCTTTATAAACCATTACTGTACATGATAAGTATGATAATTATCCCATTAAATCACCTTGATAAACCATGATATGATCATTGCCATTTATCCCACTATGGTTTCCCTGGCCATTTCAGGAACCTAAATTGGAGGTACCTACCATATATAAGGCATATTTTTCAGGCCTAAATTTCAGGGAATATCCCAGCAAAATATGGCCAAACATAACTAACGTACCTCCATGTATTGGAACCTGAAGATCTCCCATTTGATAGTATATTATTTGCATTATAACCATAGTTAATCCATAATCCCATTTATAACATGGGAACCATATTTGATCTACAGTTGTCTGTGCATCGTGATGATTCAATCACCTCCCAAATTCTAACACCTCGTGGAGACCTTCACATTCATGACGACCAGAGGGGTGATTGAAATAGTGTGTCATGAAAAATGGGTATGGGTCAAATTATCCCATTAAATCACCTTTATAAACCATCAAAAATTATCATAGCCATTTATCCCACTATGGTTGGTGATATCCAAGATTCTGCTGGTCGCTGCCCCCAGCTGGGATCCACAACTCCAGTCGCTCCAGGAGCAATCAATGCCTGGCGCTGCGAGTTATGCCCCCCCAACATCATGGAGAAAAATGGTGTTTTTTCGGATGAAAAACTATGGATTTAATGGGATAATGGGATATCGGTATTTTTATATAGGGATATATATATATATATATATAATATATATATATAATATAATATATATAATATAAGATATAATATATATATATATATATGTGTGGTTTGTGATGTGTACCTGATATAAAAGACATATAATGCACAATTAAATACGTATACATACACATGTATGCCTACATTACATTACATTACATTACACGACACTACACTACATTACACTACACTACATTACACTACATTACATTTCATTACATTATGTATTCATTATGTGTATATATATAATATGGGAGGTGACTTAAAATGATGGATCCCATAGTCATTATGGGTTTCAATACAAAGTGATGGTCTAATGACTTGGATGATTTGGGGGACACCACCATTTTAGTTGATATGATGCGGGAAATGGAATAATGAACCTACCATTCGGGGATGGTTCATACAACGCATTTATGGTGATTCTGGGGATAGTTTATCAGTGAGCTTACCACAATCGTGTGAAATTATACATACATATGTACGTATATATATATACACATTCGCTTCACATGGTATATTAAGAAAACATGTTTAGATATCCAGCCACCATTTTTAGAAACCAACAAAATCTGGCCAGTCAGTAGGTAGTGTGGATACAAACATTTTGCTCTGTAAGTAGCAAAACAAAAAACAGTTGAGTAACGCAATATGGTTCATTCAGAATTTTGAATACCCAATCTATTGATAGTAGTCTGGTGTCGGAACAAAAACAAGATCAGAAACCTCAATGATAAACAACAATTGGGCATGGTTTAGCATGGTCAGCCAACACCAAACACCCTGCTGTGTGGAGTCACTCTCCGCAGTCGAGTCCCTTGATTTATCTAGGAAACACTCATGATAAGTGATTCCAAAATGGGAAGTTCAAGCCGCAAAGTTTCGATAAAACCGTAGGATTTGCGGGTTGCAATGGCTGCACATATTGAGAACCCTATATCCAAATGCTTTTGAATAGAGAGGTGCGTTGAGATATTTTTCAGTGGCAAAAATCCCACGTTGTCAACGTCATGAGGTGGTTTTGTCAGAGCCCGGGATCTAAGGATTCATTCTACTGCAATGTAAGCTTGATTATTCTTGCTTTACCAGATGGTTATTAGGTGTGTTGCTTTCCAAAATGACGGTTATTACAATATTACATGTTATTATGTGTGTTGCTTCCCAATTTGGGTCACAACATGTTGATACTTTAGGATGAGTACGGGGTATGTTATTTATCTTCAAAACATGAAAAACCAAGGTGTGAAACAACAAAAGTCTATGGCTACAATCCTTACAGTTATGGCCATGGCTACTAGTGAACTAACTGGTTATTTCTATGGGATAAAATATACATTCTACAATGGTTAATGGATTATACATTCTATAATGGTTAATGGTCATTTATTAGTGATAACTGGCTATAAATGGGATTATACATTCTATAAATGGGGTTTTCTTAGTACTTATAACTGGTATAACGTAACGGGCCTTAGCTGTAGGTATCCACTTCCATTTTGACACGATGCTTGGGAGATGGGGATCGCCATGGATACAAAATCCATGTCTTTGACCATGTCCGGGGGGCATTCACATCCATTGACCATGATTTTACCAACAAAAATGGTGACTTAATGGGATTTGAATGGTATTTAGAATAATAAATCAGAACTGGTTGGTGGTTTCAATCCCTCTGAAAAATATGAAAGTCAGTTGAGACGATTATTCCCAATATATGGGAAACATATGTTCCAAACCACCAACCAGTATATCTCGACTATTTTGATGTTCAACAGTGGATTGCATGGATATCTTTAGGAATGAGAAAAAACCGGGTTCTGCAGGTAGTGCCCCACACTTAGCTAAGTTATTTTAAAACTTATAGCGAGGGTGTATGGTAAATATAATATAACTATAGCTAATGGGTTTATAAACAACAAACATAACTGGTGGGACACCACCTTGTAGGCTCCTATACAAATAGTTGCTATATGCCCTATAATATAATCTTCATACTCTTGGAAGTTTCCATCATTTTTTTTTTGAGGGTTACCCTCTGGTAATTTAACATAGCTATTGAACATAGCCATTTAGTTCGTGGATTTACCCATTAATAGCATGGTGATTTTCCATAGTTATGTCCCATTTATAGTGGATTTATCCATTAAAAATTGTGATTTTCCATAGTTATGTCATGTCAGTTTACCAGAGGGTAAGTATGGTTAAGTCCCAATTTTCCCCATTTTTGATGATATAACTGGCCCTAGACATCCCGCAGTTCCGGCCTGCAGTTGACGCGATGGACACGCGCAGAACCGCTGGTTCCAGAGCGCCGTCCTTCGTCGGCGAAAGGTCGTATCCCCAGTTTGTTGGACTTCGCCCACAAATCACATGTTTACCTCTTGATTGAAACATATTGAAACCATGTTCATTACAGTTATGGCCCTCAGAGAAATAACCCCATGTATGGATTTTTATGGAATGCAAACCATTTATAAGCATTTATAACCACCTATAACTGGTAAAAGGGTTTTAACCAGCTATACTCCGTATAAATCCCATGAAATCCACACTTTTCCTCAAATAATTGTTAATTTTTCAGATGTTATTTTACACTAAATTATATACTATAAATCACCGTGTTCATTAAAGGACACGTTTCATCGTCCTGACTCAACTCCGGCGGTGACCACTACTTTCCAGATTCATATAGGTTGGTTTTCTGTAAAACCTCCTTCAAGTATAGTATATACCAAGATATGCCTATCATAAACCATAGAAAACCATAAATCAACTATCATAACATAGGTATAACATAGGTAATCATAGGTATAAAACCACGTGTTTTTTTACAACTTCGCGAAACGTGCCGTGTGCACCCTGCCGTGTGCTCCCTCTCCTGTGATCGCAAGAGGCGTCGGGAGCCGCGAGAGCGTTGGATTGCATCGTGTGGTGTCGACTTAGTCGGAACATCAACGGTTGGATGGGCTGACGCGGATGGAACTTGGTGAACCATAGTTAATAACTGGTTGGTGGTTTCAACTCCTCTGAAAAATATTAGTCAATGGCAATTATTATACCCATAGGATCCATGGTGCTGGCATATATGCTAACATAAAGGGGGTATATTGATGGTAAATGTTACCATATATAGCAGCACCATGGATCCTATGGGTATAGTTAATAAGCTTGGAAAACAAACAACTTATGAAAGTTAAGTCGTGGGCCTCACCTTGTAGCTATGGTTTATATGACCATGTGAAAAATAGGTAAATCATCTATATAGGCAATTTTCCATAGCATTCCATAGCTATGTTCAAGTCCCAGAGGGTCTAGAGCAACCCCCAAATAGACGCAAGGAAAAAATAAACTTGGAAATTATAAGGGGAAACAAAGACATCATCTGGTTGGTGGTGCAATAACCATCTTGAAAAATATGGAAGTCAATGGGAAGGATGACATCCCATAAATGAAATGGAAAATAAAATTCATGTTCCAAAGCACCAACTAGTCATTTATGGGCTTTGGCCATGTGAAGGATCATTTCAGGATCAGTTTCATCTCTGGCTAAATTCCCAAAGAACCAAATGTTTGAAACCACCAACCAGTGAACCATTATTCTTCATTAATAGTTATTAACCAAAACTAACCACTATCATTCACCAAGTATTAACCATTATAAGATGTTATAAGTACCTGAAAAAAACTGTTCTATCATGTTCTATCTGTTAGGGGCCCCAATATACAGCTGACAAAAAAAACATGTGTACTATGCATTGGTTTAGCTTTCCACGGGCACATAAATGGTAAAGTAATGTAAAGTATTACACATCATACAGGATGGGGCCCCCAAGATAGCGTTCAGTTGGTTTATAAGTGGCTTAGCAATGGTTTATGGTAGATATAACTATAGTTAATGGGGATTATAATGGTTTGTAAACCAACTTATAACTGGGGGGCCCCATCCTGTATGTAAGCACTAAGATTGTCTATACACGCTGATGAATTTCCCCTATATTTTCCACTTATGATCCGTGGATCTGGGAAACACCAATGAGGATGTCAAAAAGGATGACACCATTTGGGGTCAAATCCCAGGTTCTATAGGTTATACAAAGACCCTCCGTTTGTACCCTTAAACGCTGTGTTTTACCCCACAATTCCAGTACTGTCTACCATTTTTGGGAAATATTTTGAAGGGTCTAGGTATAGGTTTGATATGTGTTGAATTGTTTTGATATACAGTATCCTCTTTTCTTAAACTTGTTAATTGTATCCCTATTGTTGATGGTTATATCATATATAGTTATATCCCAAGAAAATCCCTATTAAATCACTGTTGTTTGATGTTTTTGTCACCGAACATGTCATGGCACCTGACGACCCCGTTTCCTGTCGCCTCAAACGCGATGGTGTCGGCCAGGAATAGCAAGGGAAAAAACCTGGCGCAACGAAGATTGCATAAAAGAAGGCCCCGCAATCAGTAAAACCTTTTACAATTTAACATAGTTATGGAAAATGATCATTGTATAGATGATTTACCTATCAAAATGTTGATTTTCCATAGTTCTGTTAGTTTGCCAACGGGTATTTTCTTATGTTAGTTGTTTATCTTTGTTTACCGGCATAGTTTGCATCCAGCATCATCCCCCCTTTTCCCACACAGATCGGTCTCAAAATGGGTAATACCATTTATGGCCCATGTGTCATACTGTAGGATAAAACGATCAACAATGATTAACTACAGTTGATGAGGAATGTAACTATATAATTAGTTTTAGTTAATTATAGTTGATGGGGGATATAATAAAAATGAAAAATTATGAAACGGTCATGTGGTTGGGATACTCAATTCGTAGTTCCAACTGGTTTCCCATGGCAAACAGGGAAAACCACTGGATATTAAACAGGACAGTCATCACCATGTGGCAGGCCTTGGAAGCAACCCAGATACCAGGAAGGTATTTTGAGGAAATATGCACGTGAAAAAAAACCCTTTGGGGTGGCAATCGGGGGGGTGATTACCTTTTACCTGGCACCATGCAGTGCACATGGGATGGGCAGTCTACAAGGGAGCCATTTCCTGGCCCAAAGGTGCCGAAGTGGGCATGGTGCGCCAAGAAGTTGGGTGACTTGCGGCCAAGTGATGTCCAGGAGGGTTCACCCAGTTTTGTCTGTTGGTTTTATTTCACCCCATGAATACTAGCTGGTTGCATTCCCCCTAATCAACCATATTTTTTTCACCTAACTATATTTAAACTAAAACTTAGCTATCACAAATCAGTTTTATATCCACAAAATGACATAAATCCCATTAAATCAACATGTTGGTTGCATAAACCGTTTATGTTCTTATGGCATAAGTCTTATGGTTTTTCTTGGGGGCAACACCTTCTGGGTTGGAGTAGCCCTCCAAGCACCTGATCATCACGGCATTGCAGCGCTGCAGGTTCCGCAGGGCGCCACCAGGGGTTGCGAAGTTGTTGCCGTGTCGGGGTTCCGACAGTAAGAATATGACGAAGTTCGTACGGATATGATTTATTTAAGGATCTATCTATCTATCTACCTATCTACCTATCTATCTATCTATCTACCTATCTACCTATCTATCTATCTATCTAATCTAATCTAATCTAATCTAATCTATCTAATCTATCTATCTATCTATCTATCTATCTATCTATCTATCTATCTATCTATCTATCTATCTATCTAATCTATCTACCTATCTATCTATCTATGTATCTATCTATGTATCTATGATATACAAGTCCTAAAAGAAGATGATATATATATACATATTAAAACAAATATGTGTACGTATATTTGGTTGTCGGTGCCTCTGCTTCAGCCGATGCCTCTGTAGACCCTTGCAAGATAGAATATCTTGCAATTCCAGATTCATGGTCGCCCAGGTTCTGCTTTGGACAGGCATCCCTGAGGCCTGCCACATCAAGGGCTTTCAAGCAAGCTTGAACCCCAGCCCGGGTTTGCTACCAGCTTTGGTGTGCCAAAGCTTTGCGAACAGGTGTTGGCTTCTGTTTGCAGGCCTTACCTGCAAAGGTATAGCTGCCAGTCTGAAAATGGGAGGCAATGGCTGATGGCTAATTGCGGCAGTTCTGCTGAGCAAAATCTCTTTCTCCGAGCTTCGGTCTGCTTGTGGCAAAATAAGGTGTCCAGTGGCACCTGAGGCTTGGAGGCCAAGCTCACGTCTTTAGCCCCGGCACCGATGTGAACCTTTACCATTGCAGCCTTTCGGGCCTTTCTTGTTCATGGGACTCTCATGCCTGTTCCTTTGGCTTGGAAACTTGGGGACCATGCAGAAAAGCATGGCTCTCAACAAAATAAAAGGGGATATGTTGGTGATGATGATGATGATGAAGAACAAGATGATGATGATAATGATTTTGGTGGTGATAATGATGATGGTGATGCTGCTGCTGCTGCTGATGATGATGATGATGATGATGACAACGACGATGACGAGGACGAGGACGATGACGGCGATGAAGATAAAGATGAAGAAGATGAAGATGACGAAACGATGATGATAACGGTGATGATAACGATGATGATAACGATGATGGTAACGGTGATGATAACGATGATGACAACGATGATGACGATGACGTGGACAGTGGTAATGATGATGATGATGATGATGATGAGGAGGAGGAGGAGGAGGAAAAAATTGAAGCTGCCACCAGCGTCGTTGCGGGACTGGGACAAAAGCCACAGGCATTTGCGGCGTATGAGTCAGATACAGTGACTAACAGCGACTATACCAGGCGGCCGGAGGACGGGATCATATTATAAATATAAATATATATATATACATATATATATATACACATATATATATATATATATACATGTATATATATATATACAGATCAAAAATATAAACAGTATATAATATATATATATATAATAGAAAAAGTAATATAGACATGTGTGTGTACGCACATAGCTGATATCCGTGAAATAAACTGGTTCTTGCATGGTTGGGGCCTTGTTTACCCTTTATAGACCATAACCTCACAATCGAAGCGGGCGCCCTGCTATGAATTTGTCACGGAACTGAAGACATCAAACAACGAGATGTCTTGAGCACGGCGTTGCGGTAATGGTGGTAGTGATTCAAAAAACATTCCAAATTATCCCAAGAATCATGGTCTGCTTAGTTGCTTACAATCAACTCATCAAAATTCTGTGATTCTGTGATTTATGGATATATATATATAAATACACTGCGTATATCTACATATATATATATACTGTATGTATATCTATATATAGTTGCTGTGTAATTCTTCAACTTGTGTACAATTGACGTTACCATAAGTATTCATACGTTCAAATAAATCTACAGTATAGCAAACCGTGCTGAACTGGCATGAAATTGCGAACACCATGTTTTCAAGGGACTGTATCTCATTCCCTCTGGTTTCCACGCATGCTGGTATGATTACAGTCAGACTACCAAACTTAGAGACCTTGCAAAACATGAAGATAAGCTGGTTAACAATATAATATCCCCATTTTACAACAAAGCGATCAAAAATATTCCGTTTCGAAGTTAACAACAACATTCCAAGGATACAACAAAGTTGACAATACTCAGTTACTATTCCCCTATTCCCATTCCAGGATCATGACAATACTAAATTACTATTCCGCTATTCCCAGGCAGGTCATGGAGATTTCTCCATTTAGAATGGCTTATGTAAGCATAGTAAGGTATACAATGGGATGACCAAACATACTGGCTGGTCTAAGGGATGTCCCTCTGGTAAACATACAAAAAACTACAAGTGAAATCACCATCTTTTTTAACTGGTTGGTGGTGCAATTTCACCATCTTGAAAAATATGAGTTCGTCAATGGGAAGGATGACATCGCATATATGAAATGGAAGTCATAAAAGCCATGTTTGGAACCACCAACCAGTCATGGGATATGGGGAGTTCCATAAATCAGGCTACCCCCAATAGCTAGATGCTGTATTTCATGGAAACCCCCAATCTAAAATGGATGATCTATAGGGGTACCCCTATGACTTGGGAAACCTCCATATGGAAATGGAGATTTCTTCATTTGTAGATTGTCTTCCAGCTATAAAACTCCATTTCTAGCGATGTCCATCGCCATTGATGACCAAAATCTGTGGTTGGTGGTTTCAACCAACTTGAATCCAGGTAGTTTCAACCACTTTGGATCATGATCATAGTCATCCCAAATCAACCTGGTTGGTGGTTTCAACCCCTCTGAAAAATATGAATTCGTCAGTTGGGATGGATGGAAATTCCCAACTGAATGGAAAGTCATCAAATTCCATGGTTCCAGTCAGCACCAACCAGTAATATATATATATACCACCAAAAACCATGACATCCCTCTATCCCAGTATATCCCATTATAATTATATGGTTGGTTGTGTGATATCCCAATCCCAAGCTGAAACACAGTTGAATTTCACGTCATTGTCATCCCGCCGGGATACACTAAGGAAACACGCTGGTAACAGGCTGCATGGAAACCATCCCCCAGTCATATGCTACAGTTATCACCATGGCTATTAGTGAGTTATAACTGGTTATTTCTATGGGATAAAAAACATTCTATAATGGCTAATGGATGGTTCTTCCCCCAAATATGGAAACCGTCATTGAATCAATGGCAGAACCCATGATGAAAAAACATAGATTTTCCAACCAATCAATTCTCATCAAACATCCTTTGAATCCATCATTTTTTCCGGGACTCCCTAGAGTTATGGCCATGGCCATTAGTGAACAAACTGGTTATTTCTATGGGATTATAGATTCTGTAATGGTTAATGGATGGTTATTCCCCCCAGTATGGGAAATTCATAGGTAACAAACGACACGACCCATCCCCATATAATTACAGGACCCTTCATATTTAATGGGAAAGACCCTTGGAAAAACCGCTGCCTTGATGAAAAGCCATGTGTACCATACACACATCTGGCACTTGTCCGAAACGCGAAACGCCCTTTTTCGGATGCCATCGCTAGACCTGGGAAGGCCCTAAATATTCACCAATGGTGGTGCCAATGGCATCCAGCCGATTCTGATCCTCGGTTGGAATGGAAATTGTGCCTTGGGAGAAATGGTGCTATTGAGGAAGGTCATCTATTCCATCCCAGAACATAAACCCGTATGTATACATAAATATGTTATATTAGATACACTAATATAAGACATAAAAATATATTTATACTTATATTGTATCTAATATAGATTATATTAATATATATAATATGTAAAAGAAAAAATATCATATTTAGTATATAATATAACATGTTTAATATAAAATAAATCATATATTCAAAATATAGTATATAATACATCATATATAATATTAAATATCATATACAAAAATATATTACAAATAAACCTATAAAACTGTATATTCATATAATGTATATATATATCATATCTGATATATAATATGTAAAAAAAATATATAAATGTATAATATATATATAACAAATAAAAGATAATATGTATATATATATATATATCAATAATAGTAAATAATAATATACAATATAATACATATATATATATATAACATATTAAATGATATAAAACATAAAAAAATATAAAACATATAATATATCATATAAAAAATATATAAATTGTAAAACAATATATATAATATAATATAATATAATATATATATATATATCATATATAATTAAGATATAAAATAAGATCATAATATGAATATGTATATATATATTTATATATTGGCGGTGATTGGCCCTTATTGGCCATTGTTTTTACCTATTCGTGATGGTATGACCATCCCCCAACCTGGGTATACAACCAACTTTTGACCATGACACAAATGGGAATAGGGGGAAGAGTCAAAACCGTTTACCTCTCATGAACATTTGGAAAACGACCCAAGATTTCAGGTTACTTGGTATTTGATCCATCCCAGTATAACTTCTCATTCGTCTAAATTGATCTTCCGAGACGGGTGGAATTGGCACTGGTGCTCCTTTCATTGGATCATTGTTATTGTTACTGATTGCCATCATCCCAAATAATTCCTGGGAGAGGTACTGGTCGACAAGTGAGGTTGCTATAATTTGCCCCAGCTCCATTCACATAATCCAATTCCGTCTGGTTGGTGGTATATCTACCCCTCTGAAAAATATGAAAGTCTGTTGGGATGATGACATTCCCAATATATGGAAAAATAAAATTCATGACCCAAACCACCAACCAGCCGTTATCCCTTTTGGTAATCAAACACGGTTTGAAACGGGAAATTACCCATCTAGTTCGATGACTTTCCTGATGGAAAAAAACATCATTTACATAGCCGATAAATACCAGCTTGACACGTTTGATTATACCGGAGGTATCTCCATTACCCTCTGGTAAACCAACATAACTATGGAAAATCAACATGTTTAATGGGAAAATCCACTATAACTGGCCATTTT